TGCTGCTGCTGCTGCCCGTACAAAATGTGCACCACACGCACCCCCTGCACACACACCACACACACAGTGTGCCTGCGCACGTGCGTAGCGGAAACCCAGTTCCTGTCGCTAACTCAGTAAATTTGGCTGGTCTCCATTTATTGCATGGTTCACCGGTGAATTGTGCCATGATGGCTTTGCACATATGACTGGCCCACGTGTGCTGCACAGTTCACCAGTGAATTCAAAGCACCACACGCACCCCCTGCACACACACCACACACACAGTGTGCCTGCGCACGTGCGTAGCGGAAACCCAGTTCCTGTCGCTAACTCAGTAAATTTGGCTGGTCTCCATTTATTGCATGGTTCACCGGTGAATTGTGCCATGATGGCTTTGCACATATGACTGGCCCACGTGTGCTGCACAGTTCACCAGTGAATTCAAAGCGTGTAGCGGGGGTCTGAGCTGTGCTCGGCTTCGTTGTGGCTGCACAAAGGCTTGAAGTTGACGTCCTGGATCTTTCTTGAGGATTGAGGTTTTAACCACCGAGTGGTAAATGGTTCATGCAATGATGAGGGGGGCTTTTATTGGGCAACGTTCTAACTTTTGAAAATGCGTTTGAATTGTAGTGAACAGATCGAATGACAAGAGTCAAGCTCAGAGGATAGAAGTACCTGAACTGCTGTAGTCTAGAAGCCCGTGATCACTTCAGACAAGACCTCACTGCACCCCTTTGTTCTGACACTTGCAATTTTTCTGCAGCCAAACTCATTTTTATTGTGCAGCATCTTGCATTGAATGCGCACATAGTGGTAAGTCCAAAAATGGATAGTAGCTTGTAAATGAGAGGCCTTAAAGCAATGATTCTCAACTAGGGTGCTTTGATCCTTTCAGGGTGCTGTGTGTTGCTACACAATTCACAAGATAAACCAAGAGACTTCACACAGGAATCCATAATGTTAAAAACATTCTAACCTGCTGTGTCTTCCTGAATTCTTTGTAACAGAATTGCTGTATTCTTCAATAGTTGAAGAAAAGGAGTGAAAAACTAAGAGCTGGCATTTTGAGTGGGAGGCCTGAATCTAACAAGGGGTAACTTGATTCTGAAGATTGAGAACCTTTGCCTTAAAGTCTCAGAAATAGAATTTTATAATAATAAATAAATAAATTAGTGGAAATCTTGGCAGCTTCCCACTAAATGGCAAAATTGGTACCAGAATTAACCTTATAAAGCATAGATTTTTTTTTTTTTAAATCTATGTATTAGTAACTTGTCTCAAATGATAATTCCCCTTAACTCTGAGTAATCGCAGGGGTTCAAAAAAATAAAAACTAAACCTAATTTTCAGATTTTTTAAAAAAAGTAATCCCAAATCCACATTTTTCTACAATTAAAATTAAACACCGCTAATACATATATATCCTGGTTTTCTTCACCCCAAATCCACACTTATATACATATATAGTAGATTTGGGATGAAGAAAACCAGGATCTTTGGTAATCAGCAGAGTACTCTCATGGATTTTCTCACTGTTTAAAAATTATTGCTTTTATGGGACAGTATATGCACTGATGTATTGCCCTGATTTCAAACTTGTAAGGATTTTTTCAGGATCAACATCTGCATATGTGAATTGATTTATTTGAGGAACCCCAATGGATTGCTAACCTTCATAAATTTACCATTGTTTAAAGACTTGCCTGTTGTTAAAGTAATTTGAATGAAGGGAGGGGTATGGATTTAAAATGAAGTAGATACTTCTGGAAAACTCTGAATGATCATATTCTGATGTAAAGATACTTTCGTCCGGTTTAACTTAACCCACTTTTAGAGAAATATTAACGATTAATTCCATGTATAGTGCTACATAGGATTTTTTTTTAGTGATTAATAGTTCCTTCCAAGACTGAGGGCATTGTTGTACTATGTATTTTGCTTTCTGAATCCACTTCAGAATAACATATTAAAATCTTTCTTATGTGGAACTATGCTAGGATTTAAATTTTAATCAACTGGGTATTTATTACAGGGGGGAGAACATTGAACAGAAAAATCATTTGCAGTGGAGCAACAGGGAGCACTGTAGGGGGAAAGTGGTATATGCGATGACTTGCTTTTATCCTCCCAGTGTTTTACTAGTTGGATGACAGAAAATACATTACAAAATGAAAAACTTATTTCTAATCTTTGTTTAGAAACTGAAATGAACAGGTGAGAGTTGAGATAAGTGAGGAAGGGTGCAACTAGCTGTACAAAGCCAAGTACTTTTGTTTGCTGATGTAGTGCACAATAGAGAGACCAAAATTTCAGAAATTCTACATGGTGGTTTAAGTTGCATGTCACAAGGAGTGTGAAACTTGCATGCTTCAGTGACAGGAGGAGGAACATAAAAATATTCATACTGACATATTGGGTAATGCCAGAGGTCTACCTAGCACAGTATCTTGGCTCTGGCAGTGGTAAGTAGTGGTTGTTTCAGAGGGAATATCAGAAATCAGGCATGTGTAAAAATTAGTTCTACCCTCCCAGTTAACATCAGAGAGAGAGGGATGTCCAGAACCTGAGGTTACATGCCTGACTGCTAGTGTTTCATAGTCCCTGATGGACAAAGCCTTTTGAAATTTCTCTCATCCATCTTCTAACTGTTTATGCTATTGGCTTCTAGAATGTCTTACGACAAGTAGTTCCATTAATTATGTACTGTGCAAAAAAATGTTTTTCTTTTAAATGTGCCTCCTGAAAATTTCATTGGGTGGCCTAGTTCTTGTATTCTGAGACACGGTAAATAATAGTTCCCTGTTCACTTTTATCCATATCTCGCTCGGAATGAGCAAGATCTATAAAATCCTAAGTTTCTCTTCCAGCCTGAAGAATTGTACCCATTTTAGGTTCTTCTCCGATAAAATCCATTTCATACCTCTTATCTTTGCTCTTTGTAATATTTTTAGCTTTACTATCTCGTTTTTGAGCGGATCTGCACACGGTATTCAGGATATGGGCACACTGTAGCTTTATATAATGGCATGATCAGAGTTTCTTGTTTTTTGTTTTTTTCAATATTGGTACAATATGCAGAATTCAAACAGACAACTATCCTATTTTAAATAATTAGGGAAGGGATTAACCTCCCCCCCCCCCCCCCCCCCAATAAAAAAATAAAAAAGGATTCACAGTGACTCCAAGATGTTTCCTGAATGGTAATGGCTAATTTGGGGGGTAATGGCTCACCCCCATGTGCTTATTCAGCTTGATCTACCACTTTGCCTACTCAGTTTTATGATAACTTTCCAACTCCTCACACTCAACTTCTGTATTTGACTAGCTGTAACTTTTTTACCATCTGGATACTTTGCCATCTCAGGACTTACTCCTTTTTCAAGCTCATTTGTGAATGCTGAGCAGTACAGATCCTGTGGTTTCCCACAAGGAAGAAGTAGTTAGAGGCATAGGAGGGCATGAACTTCTCTGCTTTAGTTTCTGCTGCCCTATTGGACATTTCTGCTCAATTTACCCCTTAACAAATTATTTTGTGCTATTCTCTATTTTTTTTATTTGTTTTTTTATTGATGGGCAATGTATACCAGCAGCTAAAACAACTTTTAATTTTACCCCCAAAAACTATAGAAATATCCAAAACACATCTAGTTCTGTACTGGCTTCACTGCAGGGAAAAATAATAAATGTTAGATGATGGTTCTTGTTCTTCTCTCCTCAAGAAGGGAAACTGCAATTGGATGCAAGATGAGGTGCTGTGTAAAACCATAAGGCAGAGACTATAGACAAATTTCCCAACACCCCAAATAGAATGGAGAAAGAAACAAATATAACTAGTGTTCTTAGTAAATAAAGTGTGTGGCTATTTTACATCATGTTCATGTCGGTTCCATGATATGATTTGCAAGGGTTCAGTAACTGCACAACCATAAGCATATTGAGGTGAGACTTCTGCAAAGATGAATGTGAATATGGAATATTTCAAAAGTTTCCCTGAGTTAAATCTCTTGAATCAGATCCAAGGCAATGGAACAAGTTCTCGGCCTTGTAGCTACAGGTATTTTAGTTCAACATGAGTTTATTTTCATAGAAACTTCTTCCCCTTTTTTTCTTTTTTTTTTTTCTTATTTTAAATAGAGGATCAGAACCAGTTGTGAGGCAGCACAGCAGCTTACCTTTTGTCAAGACAACTTCACCTTTTGTGAAGACAACTTTTGAACCCTGGCGAACCAGGTAAGATCATTTGGTGAGAGCAAGTCCAGGTTCACAGGTTCTCGGTGCTGAAGAGGGATACAGAGCCATCCCAGAATCCCTGGCAAATGTAAAATTAAAATAGTTTGTCTGAGTGGGTTTCTCTGAGTGCTTCAGGTAATCTGCTAACTGATTGCTCACCTCTGCTCTGGAAACCTAATCTTAATAACTGAAACAGGTTGAGGGACATGGCACAAAGCTTTTTCATCCCTATTATTTGTGAGTGAGTTCTTCTGGAAGGGCTTGATTGTAATGCTCCACAAATAAGATGCACTGGAGGCAGATTATTAATGCCTACTTAAGTGAAATTTATTGAGAAATACCAACTGTATTTGAGCCCCAAAGACAAGAACCCTCATTCTTATTGAGGTGAGGGATGTGACCTTTAATTTGGCTGTTGTCTCCTTCCTCTTCCTAGTTGTCATCCCTCCTCCTCCTCCTCCTCTTTTTTTTCTTTTTCTTTTTTCTTTCTTTTTTTTTTTTGTTTTTTTTTTGTTTTGTTTTGTTTTTTTGTTTTTGAGTGAGGCAGCCCTTCTTCCTATTCCTTCCTGACCTGTGCATCTGGGTCTGAGTTCCCTTTGGTTCCAAGCTAGTGTCTGTTCCTGGTCTGCTTTCCCCTTGCATTCTATCTATTACTTCCTCTCACACACGCACACACTCTTGGTTCCTGGCTTGGGAGAGTGCCTGACAACTAATAGCGAGGAGAGACACCTTACAGAGGAGGAGAAGACTTCCAAGGTGAGGGAAGGCAGGGCCAATTGAGGCTCACTCTAGGTGAAAGTGATGATTTGGATCAATCTCTTCACCAGAAAATTCTTCTACAGAGTCTCCTAGCAAGTCCCAAAGATTACTTAGTTGCAATCCAGTCCTTAAAATGATCAACAGGACTGGCTAGCACCTAAGGGCTAACTGCAATTTTTTTTTTAATTCCAAGAAGAAGCTGTCAGTCCTTTAGTCAGCTTGACAAGTCAGGGGAATATGGCTGTTCATACAATCCTTTGGCTCTGTTATTTTTGCCAGGCGTTTTCAGAGGCTGCTTTCCCTCATGGGAGGCGGAGGGAGAAATGGGACCCCAGGCTTCTTTCAAGGGCAAGGTGAATATGGGGAAATCACCTGTGGTGATGGGGAGTGGGAGGGAGGAATTTAAATGAGACTAACTACTATGAAGCTGCTTTTTTTTTCCCCCCCCAACAGGACCTTATGGGAAAACACAAGAGCGAGTGTCTACCGGCCTATAGTTGGTGGAGAGGACCCCAGAAGAAGCGGAAGAAAAAGAAATCTAAGTCTGCTAGAGTTGAATATGTCAGTAGTCCTGGCAGGTAAAACATTGTGAAATAGGCAGAATTGGCTTTTGTCCATAACAACCAATCTAAATTAAAACTAGTGATTGGAGTACTTTGTGATCCTTAATAGAGGATGCGAGTGCCAAATATTATTCTTACAAAATATCCAGAATAAATGAGTCTTTGCAACAAGACTTCATTACAATTTTCTATTAAATATTTTTGCTGAGAAGTAGGTAACAACACCGTTATGTGTTCTGTGGAAACTAAGTGGGTTAGCTATTTATATGGCACTTTAAAGTACAAACAGTTTATGGATCTATTTGTTACTGGGGTTTTTAGGGCTTGCCTCATTTCTTGGTACTGACATAGAAAAACTTGAAATTAAAAAGTTTAAGAGATTAGATGCATTGTTTTTAAGATTATTTTGGTGCATTACACTGACTATCATGTAATCTGTGTCATGCTAGAGAAGACTGTTATTGTCTAATGTTACTTTGATTTCTGTTGCTAATGAAGTCTGCAAAAATTTAATTGTTTTTCTTTTTAGACCAGATTATTCAATATTTGTAGGAGAGCTAACTCCTGAAGTGGATGATTTCCAGCTGTATGACTATTTTCTGAAGAGGTACCCTTCATGCATTGACTGCAAAATAGCCACAGATCTTTTGGGATACTCCAGGTAATATCTATGCAGAATCAGAATGCTGATTAGAAGTGATGTTGATTGTTTTAATAGCTCTAAAACTGAAATATGTCATTTCTGCATTTATTTTCTTCAATAGTTGGTAGAAGGCAGACAGAATCTAATATAAAGATCTTTCTTCTAGCATTACTTTTTATGGCTGTTTCAATTTTATCTGGATTTGACACTTATTTGGGTAGTTTCTGACTCTACTATAGGCATATTTTTTTTAAAAGAGGATGGCTCTGCATTGAAGTCGGCACTCTTCTGCTCATGCATGGCAGCTTCCCTATATATAGTAAGTTGTAGTGCTGATGACCAAGTATTACCCACATTTTTTGCAAACAGGGAAGATGAACATGAGACCTCAGAAATGAGGAGATTGAGCTCTACAAACTTCAACTTCAACTGCAGATATGATCCAATGGAAGTTTCTGACTTGACTTGTCACCCAGTGACTTTAGTGTTATAGTCTTAACTGGGCCCATTTCCCTGTTCAGCCCACACACTTCCTTTGACAAGAAATACAAGATACTGAGAGAGTGAACTTGTCTCTTCCCTCTTTAAATACTGTAAATTGAAGTCCTGGTTCATGCTAGTTAAGAACACAACAAATCTTTTGCCATGCATATACATGGAATTTGACTAGATACAAAATGAATCGGAGCAATTCATTCTTTAGTTGAGAGCTAGCATAAACTTTTGTTTAATCCATCTGTAATCATCAAGTCACTTCTGATAGAAGTCTATTCTGACAAAGTATGTACAGGCAGTATGTATAATGTATGTCAAAACAAAAAGGTGGTGGACAAATATGTAACCTAAAACTAGATTAACTACAGTATTAAATAAGAGTACAGGTCAGTCGCATCATACGCGCATTTAACTTGTGCAAATTCGAATATACGTGGGGGGGGCTTGAGTTTGCACACGTAGCTGTGTGGCCGGCCACCGAGTGGCAGCATGGTGGTGGCTGGGCAGCACACAGCCATCCCCACCACCACCCCGTGCTGCATCGCTGCCGCCGGCTGCACAGCTCCGTGGCAGTGGCAGGAGGTTTTGGAGGCAGAGGCAGTCACCGCTGGCACAGTAATACACTATTTCACTATACGCGATTTTTGCCTTACACGCTGACTTCAGAACGTAACCCCCGCGTAAGATGTGACTGACCTGTATTTGTCCTGCAAGGAAAATGCTCAACTCGTTAGCTGTAGTATATTGTGGCTGATGAATTACTAAAATCTTTGTTTTGGAATTTGCAGAGGGTATGCCTTTGTCAGATTTGGTGAACAAGGTGATCAGATGAGAGCTCTGCAAGACTGCCAAAATGCAGCAGGTCTAGGGGGAAAACGAATCCGACTGAGTATAGGAATTTCTAAAAGGTAATGAGTTGGTCTTGTATTGATACAGGAATTAAAGATGTCTATTAGATATTCATAGCTCTACTTTATCAGTGCCTGTCTTAAATTTACTGCAAAGATTGTCTTTTCACCTTTCATGACACTGATACTGGGTCTAGTTTTGGTTTTTGGTTTCTTGTTTTTGTGTGGTATATGGTACCACTCATTCTTAATCTGCACTCTGGTAATTCTGAGCCTTAGTGAGGGTCCAGAGTCAAATTTTCACAAGTACCTAGGTAAGAGTATACCTGATGTACTAATCTGAACAATCTTACTGACTTTTTCATTAGGGTTGCTCATAGTAGCAAAAAGAGAACAAGTGTTTTCTGATTAAATTAGCACATTATTTTTGTAGCAGTCTGAAATGGAGGAAAAATCAGAAAAACATTATGGTGTTAAAGGTAAAAACAAACCAATATACCAAGTACAAAAAAATAAATAAAAATTCTAGCTTCTGGCACAGTCCCTTTTTGATCTGGAGTTTCAGTGGCAGAAACAGGAACCTCCATAGAGTAGTTCAGTATTCACTCTTATGTTAAAGGTTTGAATTGAAGGAACAACTATAAAACACTTCTGAAGCAGTTGTGTTCTCTGAGCAGGTGGATGTAGGATTCTTTGAATATCAAGTTACTATGCTGTGAAGTCAACTACAGGGGTGGGGGGGAGACATGATCTTTGTTTCTTTTCTTTATCCTAAGATCATACAGTTGTGTGTTTTGTTTTGGTTTTTGGGGGTTTTTTTGCTTTCCATTCCTGTTTAAATATTAGTATGGAATACACTAAACAATCCCTTTCATCAGACCTTGGAAATGCTACTGCTTCCCCTTTCTGCGGGGAAAGGGTGCGGGGTGGAAAGATCTAAATTAGTCTGGCAAGAATTGTAGGGGGGGGGGGATTGTTTTTGTTTTTTAACTTGGCTTATGAACACAAACGTTCATGCATGTTTTAAAGCTTTTGTATATTCTCTTTTACACCCCAAACAGGATCATTCAGAGTGGTGGTCATTATTTCCACTCTGCCCCAGGGCCATGTCTGTGCCCATTCTGCCCCCACTTTTTTTAACTTGGTAAAATTGACTCTGTCTTGTATAAAATATGAGCAATAATAACTTGGCTTCTGTTTCTTTTCACTTTTTACTGTAAAAGTCTTAAAGCAATGACGTGATTTTGTATTTGTGTTGATCCTTAGAAATATGAATTGATATCTTGTCTCAATGGTATTGTTGACTTCAGGGTCTTAATACTTATATTTTGGAGGATCTCACTCTCACAGATGCATCTGTTTTATGAACAATTTCAAAGGTGGCTTGACCTAGAAACTTCTGCTTTTATTTTGGGAAACATTTGTGCTTGCTAGATTTAGGCCCTGATTTTGGCAATAAGCTTGCCTGTACCTGTGCAGAGACCCATAAAAGCAAACTGGATCCTGCAGGTGTGAATGGGATAGGTAGCCTTGTGCAGTTGGCTGTGGAATTGAGGCCTAAATATAGTTACATGTTTATCTCCTCTCCACCCCCGGCAATTATGCACTTGAGTCCGCTGGCTTTTAGAGCAGTGGTTCTCAACCAGGGTGCTGGGGCACCCTTGGGTACATTTTGAGATCCTTTTTGAAGGGTGTCGCAGGAAATATGAGGAGATAAACAGATAAGGGCAGGCTTGTGACCCCACACCCCTCTCTCCAGTCTGGCTTCTCTACAGTGTAATAAATTAGTTTGTGAAATGGTTATGGAGGGGTGTGTCAAATCTAAAAAGGCTGAGGAAAAATTGGTCTAGAGTATATTGATGCAGTGTCCAATTAACTAAAAAATTTATTGCCTAACATCTTACTTGAAAGATCAACTTTTTCTGCCACTTCTAAAGGGCTGAAGCTGCTTCAAAAGAAATCTCTCCATTTTCATAATGGCTTGCTACGAGTTGAGTATAATGTCACAAGCAGCATTTGAGTTCAGCTGCTGGACTCTTAACCAGTATCTAGTCTACAAATTTTTTTTAAGTGGAGGGGAACTTTGTTTTGTGGTTGTGTGGTACAGGGAAGTTGGAATTTCCCTCTTAAAAAGGAGCAGTTGACACTGCCCACACTTTTTAACTATGGGATGTTGTATATTTACTACTGAAATAAGAATATTTAGCAATAAGCCAAGTGAAATAAAGGACTAATTGAGAGAATGGGTGAAGCAGCTGTGGCTGTATATTCAGTAAGTACTAATCAGCCAGTCTTTAGCAGAGCACAAGGATTTGGCTGCAAAAGCTTTGCTTATTTTGACCCTGAAACTTGCTTTGTTGGAAATAAGTGCTGTGGGTTTGGATTTAATCCAGGAAAGTTATTGGTATTGGCAGAGATGAGAGCATTTGCTTATGTATAAATACAAAGTACTGTGCTGTCTTCTCTTGTGCTCATTTTTTCTAAGAAATGTTCATCTTCAAAACTTGATATGCAAAAACTCTTACTGAACTGCCTAAAATCAGTTTTGCAGCCAGTTTGTCTCAATTTTTCTCTTTAATTATTTAGACTGAAAGCAGAATTCCAGCGGTACCAGTCTTACAACTACAATGATTATTACCAGGACTATCAGAACTACTACTCACAATGGGGTTATGATCCTTACCCTGACTACAACTACAGCTATTCTTCCTATGACAACATGCATCATGTTGCAGACACTGCTATGGGTGACCAAATTATGACTCCAGCTCAATTTGAGGTATTGATATTACTGAACTTGTATCTCTAAGAGAACTTACCAGAATTAGAGTTATTGTGTAATTTAAACCAAACAGACTTGGACCCAGTTTTCTCTCTGAAGTTTTAAAGTTGAAGTCACGCTTGAAGTTAGACCTAGATTTTAAGTCTGTTACTCTTTCTCAAGTACTGCAAGCCTCCTGGGTTTTTTTGGGTTTTTTTTTTTTTTTTAATGCTTACCATGTGCTGTTGCATCTTGGTTCTGACAGCTATATATGCATATATTTTTACCTTCATCATTCTGTTCCATAATGCCCCTATTTTAATTGCTTTTATTTTGTCTTATTAATCAAATTACTTCTGAAATGTCTGTTTTTAAGAAGGTAATAGATTTAGATGTTGAGACAACTCTTAAAATACTGATGTCCTCCTTTCAGTCATGTTCATGAACACATTCGGAGTCCTTTTTGAAATGAAATATGTGAAATTTTTCTGAAGAGCATAGTTTCTTAGAAGTGGAAAAGCTTTGTTGGCTCTAACCTGAATATGCTTTTTGTTTGTTTTGTTTTAGGAGCCTGCAGCTGCAGCTGAAATCAATGATGATCTAATAACTGAAGGTAATGCTAATGCTATTCTACTTATCAACTGAATTTGGTTGTAATGTCCTTTGGCATCTTCAAGTTCTTAAGAAACCAGAGTAGTGCTAGTTCATTATGGAGAAAGTTTAAGACATTGGCACAATGTAAGAACTTTAAGTAGGAGACCTGTTTACGCAGGTTTTTGACACCTGCCTTAGATTTATACAAATCGGGCAATGTCTTCTAACAATTCATAAATGAATAGATCAAGAGACTACTTTCTCTACAAAATTAAGTCACCTCCCCCCCTCTGAATAAATTCACAAAGTGAAGATCACTTTGCCCAGTAGGGTTATACAAATTTGTTTTTGAGTTTATGCACAGAGTACTCTGCCCTGATTGGGAAGGGAGCAGCTGAGATGGTGGCTGCCCCTTCTGCTGATTGGCCTACAGCTGTCTTTTGTGCAGTCCTGCCTATTTCTGCCGATCGGTGGGGTGGGGGGAGCCCTCAGCCAATCGGCACCGAGGGGGTGGGGACAGGGGGCTCACCATAAAAAGGCTGGGTGCCACAAATAGTCCCCTATATTTGTTTTTCTTCCCCTCCAGGTGCTTTAAGTAGATTCCTAGTTATGGTTTAGAAATTTGTTGAACAGACTTGTTCACATGTTTCAATGTTTCATGACTATGACTAGATGTGTGATGCATCAAGTTGTTTTCTTTTTGTTTTTTTTAAATTGGAGCCAACATGTATGACAACTTACCAGACTTACTTTTGCAGATCCACAGCTTTTCCTGGATGTTGATGAAATGAACAAACAATTTATGGAAAGAAGCGAAGAACTATATGATGCACTCATGAATTGTCACTGGCAACCTCTGGATGTCACCTGTGAAATCCCTTTTGCTTTCTAAGGGTCTTTTATATAGCATGATCGTTATGACCGAGGTGCTAAAACTACATTTCTTCTACATTTTACTTTAGATCATAAGTTTTTAAAGCACAATGATAGGTTGTTTTTTCTGTTTGTTTGTTTTTTTTTGCTATGCTTTGGACAGCCTTTGTAACTTTTGTTCACCACCATACTCTATGACGCATCTTGAAATCATGTAAATATTCTAGAAATGTAAAGAGTTAATTAGGGTCTAAAGGATAGACTTGCTTGTGTAAATAAAATCTTGTTTCTGCAAACCTGCCAGTACAGTTGCACTCATTCACTTGTGTGGAGTACCTGCTGTCTTCTGGCTTTACAAAATCAAGTGGTAGTTTTAATTCCATAATAATCTGCCTTCTGTTCTGGGGTAGATTCTTGTATTGAATGACTGGAGCTTGTGGATGCTAGGCTTCATGTCAAGGAAATAAATGTGAATATATTGTGCAAACTCTGTTTCCATTGGTAGCAATTGCCTTTTGACATAGAGGTTGTACCTCTCTGTCTCTGGAGCTCTCAGTTGAACATGGAGCACTTGTTCCCGTGATTTATCTTGCAAACTGCTGATGGTGACTTTCTAAAAGAGCAGTTGTGCAGAAGCTTGCTGCACTATATTTAAAGCAAAAAAAGTAGCTTTACGCTTGGGGTACATAGAATGACTAATTGGAGCTTGGCAGTTGAAGTCTGTTTAATGCATTATCCTTCAAAGTCCTTGAAATCTTATCTTTGTGGGGGGAGGGCTGTTTTCCTCCCTCCCACCCGCTTCTGTCATTTATCCTGGTTGCTGTTGTATTACAATGTTCATTGATTCAAATGTTAAGAAAAAGGAAAAAACGGTTCCTGCATCTGATTACTGAGTCTGATCTTTAAACCCTTTCAAGAACTGTGTGGCTTTTGATTTTATTCATGTCCAATCAAAGCTCTAAAACTTTATTTCTCTAATTGGGGACAGCTCTTATGGTAACTTAACAAAACAAAAAAACCCCCAAAGACCACACTATTGCAAGGTCTGTCTAAACAGCAAGCAAACAAGTTAATTGCATAATTCTAGAAGGGGTTCAGATTTCCCTCCCACTATTTTAAGCAGCAGAAGTTTGCAGCCTTCTCTCAGAACTGCTTCAAAATAGATAAGATCAATTAACAGTACAAGCTGCAGGTAAGGATTTGCCACAAGAACCTAATACTTGTGTCCTAGACTTACCTTGTCTTCACCTTTTCCCCCTTCACCAGCCTGCGCCCCTACTGCTTATTGCTTTTCTGATTATTGACAAGAAATGTCCTTTATTTCTGTCTTTGCATTGTGCCTCCCTGCTTGAGGATGTTGTTCCAGCCCTATCACTGATGCAGTGATAAAAAGTGGGATTGGAGAGCTGCTTTCACATGACCCTGGGGATATGTCCATTGTTTCTGTGGAGTGTACCAGCTGTGATGACTATGCGTAAATTTGCATCTGTTCCAATGCTGACCCCAAACTATCTGTCTTGAGCTGTGGCTAGTGCCTTACGGACTCCACATCTCTTAAGTAGACCTTTTGTGTTTTTAAAAAAAAAACCTGCACCAACTGTCTACTTGGTTTCACTTTTTACCCATTGTAAGTCTATTTTTGGCTTGTCAAGGGTATTTAATAGTAATATTATTCTAGTATAATTAACTTTGTTTTGTACTACCAGGTGCTACCTGTACCCATCAACTGTTGGCTCTTTCTCTCCTTGTTACGCACTTCATTTTTCAATTTCAGATTTTCTTGCCCAAAGAAAATAGCCTTTTATACCAGGTTATATTTATAGGAAATGTTTGTTTACAAAACTACAGTGGGAAAGGGAACTGGATGAAAAGAGTAAATGGGTACTTCAGATTTTTTTCTGTAAGGGTAGCTAAGATCTTAACTGGAAGAAAATTTGAACGTCTTCCTGCACTACTTGATATACATGGACAAAAATCCTGGGTCAGATCTTCAGCTGGTGTAAATCCACCTCATTCCATTGTCTTCAGTCTTTGACCCTTGTTTGTCACTTAAGGAATAACTTCCCATGCAGACATTCTGGAATAAAGTAGTGTGTAAAAGCAATAGCTATTGTCAGACTAAGTGTCCATACTGAGAGCTATTTTACATGGGAGTACTTTTTCCCAACTTACTCTAAATTTGGAAAAAGGCACTCACTTCAGCTTAATGCTGCACATACCAAAAGCCAGTCCACTTGATTTCTTTTTTTTTCTTCCCTCACCACTACCTCCCTTGCTGCTGTTTATCCTTAACAGCCAGACAGAATCTCTCCCTGTGACTGATTTGTGGAGTTTATGCATCCAAGCTTGAAACATTACTTTTCTTTACTTGGGGAAATAGTGAAGCACTATGCTACTCTGTAATAGAGCTGTGCAACACTTCAGGCAGTGACTCAGTTTGGCATCATTTTTTTTTTTTTTTTCCTTCGGTGGCCAAATCTCTGAATCCATATTGAATCAGGACCAATTAAGAGGTCTGAATCAATCCAAAGCTCTCTGAATCTGGGAAAAGATTCTGAGAGCTTTGATTCAGACAGTCCCAGGGAGCTGCAGCAGCCTTGGAGCTGGTAAGTAGCAGGGGGGAAGAGGGCCAAAGGGTCCCCTGCCTGCCCCAGCTCCTAGTGTTTTTAAAAACAAAACCCTGGTGCTTACCAGGTGCTGCTGGGCATAGGGTGCTTGCTGCTGCCCTATGCTGCATGGGGGGGGGGCTCTGTACAAGCCCCCACCACATTGGTGCCCTGCCCAGGCCAGCTCTGGCCCTTTTTAAGAAAAAAAACAAACCCTGGGATTCCTGGCTCCTGAACTGGCCTTAAGCTTTGAGGTGCTCATGCAGAGATCCCTGCAGGGCAGTGAGGATCACCCCCCTGCCAGCAGGAGCCAGAGTGCAGGGCTTTCTCTGACTTCTTTTGTTTTGTTTTTTCTTAAAGGGCTAGAGCTGGCCCAGGTGGGGGGGACTGGGGGAGCAAGGGGGGTTGAGGGGCTTGTGCAGAGCCCCCCCCCATTCAGTGGGGGGGCAGCAGCAATCACTTCTCTTCCCCCTCCCCCTCCCCCCAAGCAGCACCTGGTTGAGTACCAGGGCTTTTTTCTAAAGTCAGGAGTAGGGTGGGTGGTGCATCCATTGCTGGGCTGGGAGAGCAGGTGGGGGATGGGGTCTGGCCTGGATGATTCAGAGATTCGGCAGCAGCCGAATCAATTTGGGACAGTAATTCAGATAGCCAAATCTAATCGCTGTCCCTAGAATCAGCTGAATCCGAAGTGAATACTAGCTGCTTCACACAGGCCTACTCAGTAAGGGCCAGAAGCAGACTAGTGCTGTGAACAAAATAGAATGGCTCACTACAGGAACTTATCTTTATGTATTGAAAATTAAATTTTCTTCTAATTTTCCCAGTGTGTGATGGAAACGCAACTGCTTGACCTAAGGCCAGTTCTGTGTCTCATTGCCAGCTGCCACAAAATAAATGAACCTGAAACTGTTGTTACTTACTGATTATAACAACACGAGTTGTAACAGAATCCTAGTCTTGCGTAACAAACATCACTGCTGGACTCCGTCATCTATCTTCCTATGTTCCTCTCCAAATCTTTCCTCTTAATC